CGGATCATTAGGGGTACAAAATATATTTTATATATCTATGCTATGCAAGTACCACCTAAACCCCACTCATGTATTACAATATCAAGCTCTAGTAGTAGAGGAAGACCTAACATATAAGGAGATGCTAATTCATATAGTCGACAGGCAAGAGAAGACTCTGAGAAATAAATTCATACCAATGGTAAAAGTCTTATGGCAGCACCATTCACAAAAAGAGGCAATGTGGGAACTCGAAGAGGAAATGAGAACTACATACCCCCAGTTTTTTTAGCAGATGTAGCAAATTTGGGGATCAAATTTCTTGTAGGAGGGGGGAATTATAAGGACCCAGTATGAGTTTAATAAAATAAATTATTCATTTTATCTTATACTAGTAAATTGCTCTTATCTTTTTCCATAAAGTATAAACAATAAATTTTGTTAATTAGGAAGAAGGGACATATTTGAAATAGAAGTCTAGTTAGGAGAGAAAAGGATATAATTTAAAAAGGAGCATAGATGAAAAATGTATTAATTTACATGGGTGTAATTGCAATTTAAATAAAACAGGCCACCTCACCGGTGAATAGGTTCTTCAACTAATCGAATGATGCACATACAACTAAAAATGTCATAAAGCTCCATCACCATAACCAACTGGCCTGATCACGCCATAGAGAATTGACGTGGCAGATCGGATGGTGTTGGCCTGCATAACACCACATCTGACGGCCAGCACTTAACCCCAAAAATTGAAGGGGCAGGATTTGTTTGTTGAGGGGTTAAATAAATGATGGGTTGCAGCTTGATGAAAAAAAAAAGAACCCCACTCCCAAATTCAGTGGTGACCGAAGAAGAAGAAGAAGAAGAAGAAGAAGAGAAGAAAAGAAAAAAAAAAAAAGCTTAGGCCGAAGGAAATTGGTGGTCTAAAACAGTATCGACGCACCAGGTCAACGCCGTATAAACAAGGACGTAGGTAAAGCCTTCCTCACTCTCCTTGAGTTCGACAGTGGAACCTCATTTCATTTCTTTTCTGAAGTAACGTGTATCAGAAACCAAATTATGTGTGGGTACCAATTTCAGCTTCGGAAGAAGGAAGCCCCCACACCGAGACCACCTGCATCACCTTTTGTCGAAGAGGTAAGGATTATTTACCACCTTACTCTATCTCAATAATTAGTACCCTTAGGCCTCAAATATGAGTGAAAAATGGGTTGAATAATTTTCTGTTTTAGCTGAAGGCATGAACAGTGATGTAATACACCCAATTTTTGGTTTAAAACAGTTATGCAGTAAGGTTTACCGGTGTCCTCTAATTGGTAGTTGTAGATCCTGAAATGAATGGTACAATAGTTTTAAGATTAGGTACCTGAGTATGTAATTTCTGCATCAATTAAACGATGAGCACCAGTGTTCGAAATTTAGTTTAGGCACCTAAACTGATGTGCATGAGG